ACAAATAATAATTTAGATCAAATTGGTTTTCAATATCTCCTAATTTTCATAAAAATATATATGAACAGCGTACATTTTATAAACTATATAAGAAATGTTAACAGGATATTTTATTTTATTTATAACTTTAATCGTTAATATATTTGGTAACTTATCGGTATAGTATGGATAATAATAACTTCTTTCAGTTTTGAATTTTTAATTATTGGAGTTATAAACTAAAATATTCATAAACTATTTACAGCAATTTTCCAAAACTTAAAATTGTAAATCTATTGAATTATAGATTAATAAGATGAAATAAGTAAAAATTTAATTTRTTAATGTAAGAGTTTCTAAAGCAAATGAATAAAGAATATCTAGGAACGTTGAAAAAATAATTTTAATAGTTCCACTACCAACAATTTCCATTATGTAAATTTTAGATGTTAAAATAAAACATTATGTGTACAACACTATTATTTTTAAATAATAAATAGATAGGTACCAATATTAAGTAGGAATCCCAAATTTTCAATTGAAATAAAATAGAAACGTGTTACTGTTTATTACATAGGTAATAAACTTTTCTTARTTAGAATAATTTTGAAAATATTTTTATAAAAATAGGTACCTATATTTAGTAAATTTATTTTTAAATAATTATACATTTAATCAATAAGTAAATCAAATTATCAATTTTTAATTTTTAATTACATTAGTTCTTAACAACTTAAAAAGAACAAAACAAGATACTATTATATTATTTTGCTAATTATACTAGATATATCAATATAATGCACCTACTACCTAACTACAATTATAAGTATAATYGGGATGACCAATGTTAAGAATATGTTTTATCAAATAGGAATATAATATTGCGTTAAACAGCATAGATATTAGATGATATTAATGTACAAGATTTGGTCATGTTGAATGAAATATTCTTGCGCAATATAAAATCAACAATGCTAAACACATTGAAGGCCTTATGTGATCGTATATTATACATATGTACATATCTAACATATTATAAAGCATAGTTTCAAAACTTACCTTTTAAGAAGCATCGAAGGGTTTGCAATAATTACTTGAGCAACACTAAATTATATAAAATTAAACGCGAAAAACACCAACCGGAAGTGAATAACAGATACTAAGTCCGTAGAATACCATTTAACAGGATTTTAAAAACACACGCTCACAGAGAGAGAGAAAAATAATACTCATATAAAAAGCAGTGCCATGCCCTTAGAACGGATATATATGACCATTTGCCAATGAATGAAGTGAATAGATGAATGAAACGGAAACCCCCCGCCCGCCGACCCCACTCTCACTTCCGGTACATAACCCAAAATTACTATGGGCCACGAAAACATGAATGAACACAATGCTACCAACTTAAACAAGCATCATTTTACAGAAATTGATTTCTATTTTTTTTGCCAACATTACAGTTTTTGATGAAAAAAAATTAAATATATTATTTATTATAATTATAGTAACTACATAAAATATAAACAATAAATATAAATTACTAGATTTGATAAAAATAAACACTTCATCAAATTTGTATACCATTAAAATTAATGAACATACAGTAACACCTCATTATATAGAAAATTAATAACAAATTGTGACCATGTCTAAATTGATATTAACTAAAGTTTTTCGATGTTATTAAAATAAAATACTATAAAGTTTTAGTAGTTTTACTAATTAAATTTAATATACTAACCTAATTTGTAACATCCAATCCAGTCTTCAGTTTGTCGATCATCTTTAACAATGTTCCATAATATCTTTATAGATAATCGTAAACCATCTTCAGATAAATGAACTTTATTTATAAATACTTTTAGATATGTGTTGTCCACATCTGAATTAACATAGACTGGTTCGTTTTTGTTATTTTTGAGAATACTATTGTTAACCGATGTTGACAAGTTTTCAATTGAATCATCATTAGTATTTGGGTTAATCCTTACTTCCAATATATTTACAACAGATTCTTCTGAAATGGTCTCTTCTTGCAAAATTCCATCGGCACTTTGTAAGATTTCTGCAGCCAGGTTGAGATTTAAAAATGGAACAATATGTAAAAATTATTTAATCAAGTATTTTTCAAGGTTTTTAAAATCTATCATAACATTGAAAAATAAATAATTAGCTTTAAAGTAAAAATATTCTACAAAATTCAAAATTGCTGAATGAGACCGAACTCTAAAGTTAAACTGAACATTTAAGTATTTAATATTCATTTGGATTTGATACAAACTTGAAACTAAAAATTTTCCTAAATTTTAGTATGATAATATCATTCATTGTTAAGGACCTTGAATACCGTGGTAACCATGAACCAAAATCGTGATACTGGTAACCTAATAATATGTTAACTTGGTGGTAACCATTAATATTATCATTTGGG